AGCGGTCGGTACTCTGAATGCTTTTTATCGGGACGTGAAAACCCCAACTGTGATTGATTGAGACAAAAGCAAACCGCACAGACGACTTTGCGATACACGGGAATTTCATGTAGGTACAGATCAACCGGATTAAAATCGCTTAAGGGCCTCGTGATTGGCAATTCGATAAGGCCACTGATTGCTGATCGGTGTGTCTCTGGTTACGGTCACGAAAATCTACGGAAGTGCAATAGGGATGACTGTTTCTGTTTCAATTGAATTCTCAGTCACCGTGATTATCCGTGGGTTTTATTATTTGGTGACACCGTGTGTTGGGCCAATGTTAAAGTTTTATTATGCGAATTGCTTACAAGCTTATGCTTCTCTTGTTCCCATAAGATATTTACACAGTGGAATTTCCGTTTGCTTTTACTACTACTACTACTACTACTACTGACAGAAGTAAGAGTTTAAAAAGTTGCAGATCATTAACCTGGCGTTGTGTGACTTAAACCCAACTCTGGTGTACAAGCGCACACGAATGCAGTCTCCCTATGATCGGTGGAATTGCGCCAATTTCGTTACTTGTGTACCTACAACACTGATAGGATTGAGGTGTTCTGGTGACAGCTTAACGAACGTGAGTGGAAATTGTTTATCAACACTGGACAACGGGCTGGGGGGGGGATAGTTCATGATGTGTCGGTCCTAATAGGTCACATTTACAAAGTGGCATGTCCTCGGTCCTCGGATGGAATGAATAGTTTTGTTCCCAGATCAAATAGATTCATAAAAGTTGCAAAAGTGTTCGGTATCTCCATCAACAGGCATTGTCACGGAGAATTACGGAGCGAAAACCAGTCTGGTTGAGTACGGGTATAAGGAAAACGATTACGAGTGCATTGGTAGAACACCTTGCAGTCTCGGGACATCAAGCCGGTGCGGACGCATTCAAGGTGGTCGACAAAGTACTAGCAAACCCATCCAAAGCTCTTCTTCAACGGCACCTTGCTACAGCCAAGGCGGCGGCTATTCGCCTACTCAATCCATCCCTTTGTTCTCCAGAGGGATTTTATTCAGTCCATTCGCTTCCAGTGGCCTCAACCGACCGAAAAGCCCGTGACCTTTGGCATGAATCCCCCGGAGGGATGGGGTGGAGGGGGGGGGCAGACCGGGAAAGGAACAGTTCACACTATCCATCGACTGTGAATATTTCCAAACCATATATCGCAATATCACAATCAACCAATCATATTCATCATATCAGAGCATTACACTAGTTGGACAGTTTTGAATGCCACATATAACTGAATTAGTCCGAGGAGAAAGTTATCGAAAACAACCTTTGTTCGCTACAGCATTTTCTGAATTTCATGTTGGGAATATTCAATTAATTAGATAATCGCAAGGAGAGACTGGTCATTAGAGAGCTCAATAGTTATTTGGGCTTCAAAACCAGACTTACAGGGGTGAATATGACTGTACTATTCCTAAACTGGCCGAGACGAGTACCCTAACAACCATGGTCTCAAGATGTCCACTCTCTAATGGAACGGAGTAATGAAACGAAAAAAAATCGTTTATCTCTATGAAATTGCTGGTGTACATTAAGCACAATAGTTATAGTATATACGGCCAGGTGTGCACATGTTGATTAATTGCAACCGAGTTGCACTCCCATGCACGTGACACCAAGCGTGGGTGACAGTGGGTTTTTGATTCGGCTACAATGATCGTCTCCGTCTAGTCTGTGAACTTTGTGAAACTAGAGAGCACCGTCAGGTTGTTCTGCGGCCGACCGAACGGAAATAATTTTGTATCCATCTACACAGACCAATAGTTATAATTCGTAGTGGTTCATCTGGGAGGTACAGTGACAACTCTATCAAAGCTGCTTGTTTATTCTTTTAAAATACTCACGTTGGAAAGAGGAGCACTTACGGAAACCTATCGATCCCATGACTGCAGTAAGATAGGCGTGGTGCTGAGCTGAACGACAGCGAACACACCTCTCACCAAAGCTGAATGTTGGTTCGAACCCCCCCGGACCCGGAGTACACCACACACGGTGAGGTAGACCGTTTGACCACCACAACCCGGTCGCAGTGTTGAGAAATTTTGATACTTCAACAGTAATTCCACGGAAGAATTACGTCGGTTTACTTCCATGTGGTACAGCTAAACGTTTGGCCCATTGTTCCGTATCCACATTCCTGTTTNCCTGTTTTCCTGCGGTTCTTACACGCTCTGACATTGTCCAATTCAGTCTCATTGCCGTCGGAGCATACAACCCCGATCTGTCACGATACATGTATGTGTAAGCTTTTTTTCAGGTTATTTGAGGTGAGAGCTTTGTTTCTCTGCCTGTGATAAATTGCACCAAGTACCAAGGACACGGACAAGAGGGACTAGTTGTAGAAGTCGGCGAGTTTCCTCTGATCACTGCCCCCGGGCAAGACACATTTGAAACGCGGCGTGCGTGTATGCGCGCTCCTGGTCTTGCACGCACACACACACACACACACACACACACACACAAGATTATTGCCGTTGGACGATTAGACCGCCAAGCAGTCATCAGGCTGTGATGGAGAGAATGACACACAGAGAGCTGAACTTTCAGGTAGAACATTCAAAGGATCAGCTGCAACTGGATTCACCGTGTGTGTTTGGGGGGGGGGGCGAGGGGTGCGGATAGGGAGTGCAAAGTGGGGAAATGGAACAGATTGATGGATAGATAGATTGAATAGGTAGATAGATGAACAGGCGATTCGGCAGGTAGACACACACACACACACATGCACACACAGATGTATAGTCGCTCGTCTTGTCGTCTCCCTTGTGTGATCCTCGTAGAGACGATCCGCGGCACGGATTCGTCAATGACCATCGATGTGAGATTGGTCAGAGTCGTGA